GGGAAGGAAAATGGGAGGGGTGAAAATAGGAGAGGAAGGAAAATGGAAGGGGTGAAAATGGAAGAACATGACGGAAGGAAAAAAGGAGAGAAGGATGGGAGGGGCGAAAGTGGAAGAGGAAGATGTTAGAAAAAAAGGAGAGAAGGATGAGAGGAGAAGGAAAATGGGAGGGGTGAAGGAAGGGGAGGAGGGGTCGAGCCAGGAAGGGAGCAGGGGAGAGGGGAGGGGGGTGAGTCGGGGAGGGGGGTAAGCGGGGGAGAGGGGAGGGGGCGAGCTGGGGGAAGCGGGGGAGAGGGGAGGGGAAGAAAGAGGGAAACAGGGAGAGCAGGGGAGAGGGGAGGGGGGCGAGCCGCAGAGCAGGGGAGCCATCGTGGGGAGAGACAGAGAAGGGGGAAAGGGGGAGGAGAGACGGAGGCGGGTGAGCGGGGGCGAGCCGGAGGGGGGCGAGCAGAGGAGAGACGTAAGAGGCGAGCCGGGGAGGGGGGGAGCGGGGGAAGGGGGGGCCAGGAAAGGAGGGCTCCCCGTACCTCGGCTCTGGTCCCCCCACACACACGCCGCCCCACCTCCCCCGGTCCCCGTCCCCGCTCACCTGCAGCCCAGGAAGATGTGGTTGGTCCATGCCGACGAGAGAGCCAGCAGCTGGTCGAGCGCGGCGCCGGGGTACTTGTGCAGGTGACGGCAGATAAAGGTGCGCCGAAGCCCCCACTGCCAGTCGCTTTCGTGGCTGTAGCGCCACTGGCTCACCACGGCCTCGGGTGGCATCACCGAAGAGGAGGGCGGCGGCAACAAGTCGCCCTCCCGCAGCAGCCCATCGCCACCCTGCGCCATCTCCAACTCGGGTCTCCGCGGCCACCCGCGCAACTGCCAGCGACTGAAGCGGAGGTGGGTGGCTGGATGGAAGGCGGGGCTCGAGGGCTGCGGCGCCGAGGCGGTCCCCAGAGACCACTCTCAGGGTGGAGAGCAGAAGCCCGCAAGCCGAGGTCGCAGGACTAGACGATGGTTGTGGCACATGGGGAGAGGAGCAGGGATGTGGGGAGAATGCGAGCAGGGGAGCTTGGGAGCAGGGGGCGGGGGGGAGAGAGGGGCAGGGCGCTGGGGAGACAGGCACGCGTGCGCCGGAAGAGGGAAGACTGGGCTCCAGTGCCTCCCCCTCCTTGCCTCACGCAAACTCACACGCTACGCGAGACCATCCGCTTTCCTCTATCCCTCGGCATGCGGCCCGAGAGCCCCGGGTGCGCACGCGCGTCTCCCTACCCACCTTTCTAAACTCTCAACCAAGACTCTCGCGAGACTATTTTAGAACAAAATCAAATGCGACTGAATACTAGCTGGTCACGCCCCACTGTGACGCCACTATACTGCAAGCGGTGGGGCTCAAGGAACTTGGTAGAATGTTCTAGAGAGGAGCACCCCTCCCTCGCCCCGCCCTGGAAGGGAGTCAACTGATATCCCTCCAGCGGCGGGTGGTGGTGGTCGCCAACGACCATGGGCGCAGGATCCTTAGATTTCCGCAGTCACGTGGGCGACTCGGCCTTCCAGCGGGGCGGGGCTTAAGGCCCTCAAGCTTCATTTTGACACTTGCCGCAGTGTATGTTGCGAAATGCGACAGAAAGATCCTCCCCGCCCCCAACCACCTCAGGAAAGAGATGCTGCAGGGATTTTGAGCCCCATTTTATAGATGAGGAAGCAGGTTTAGAGTGCAGGAGGACCGAGGATAGCTCTTGAACCCAGATCTACCCGACTCCCAAGCGCAGCACTTCACCCACCCCACACCCTTCCCTCCCTAGAGATCAAGCACACGTTTGTCAAATACCCGCTATGTGCCAGGCCCTGGAGATACAGACACAAATGAAAATGGACTCTGCTCTCCAGCAGAGACAACATGAACACGTGTACACAGAATATACAGAACCTGACCCTGCAATTTTACTAATTAAGGGAATGCCCTCTACCAATGCAGGTCAGTCAGTAAACGTTTATTAAGTGCCTACTACGTGCCAGGCACTGTGCTAAGTTCTAGGGATACAAAAAGGGAAAAGAGACCCTGTCCTCAAGGAAGTCAATCTAATGGTACTGGGGAGACAACATCCAAACAAATACACACACACACACACACACACACACACTCAAAACAAGCTATGTGCAGGATAAATGGGAAGTAATTGAGAGATGACTCTAGGATTAAGAAGGGCTGGGAAATCTGTAGAAAACGAGATTTTAGTTGGGACTTACATTGTACATAAATAGGCGCCTGAAAGATACACACTAAGTAGATGGAAGCTAACCTTAAAGGAGAAGGCTTTAGCAGCTGAAGGGACTGGGAATAGCTTCCTGAAGAAGGTGGCATTTGAACTGAGTCTTGATGGAAGCCAGAGATTCTAAGAGGTGGAGATTGAAGAAGGAAAGCCTTCCAGCCTTGAAGGAAACACCAGCGCAAAGGCAGAGGTGGGAGATGGAGTGTGTATGAAGGAACAGCAAATAGCCCAGGACAGTTATCCAGTATTGACATGTCCTTTCTCAAAGGAATGGGAGCTTTGATTATTCCTGTGTCCAGAACAGGATGGGGCAGGGGGAGATGGCAAGAAGATGGTAGTAAAGCCCGGTTAGGTGGATGGGACAAAGTATATGGGAAGCTCCCCGATCCAGCAGGATGACTGGAAGGCAGGAGCTGGGGGTCTGATTGGAAGGGCATACGTTTCATCAACAAGCCAATGCCAACCCCATGGTGACCAGCCAGAGTCACTTCACCAATCAGTCAGTCAGCTAATAAGCACTTGTTAACTGCCTACTACCAGCCAGGCACTGTGTGAAGTACTGGGAATACAAAGAAAGTCAAAAGACAGTTCCTGCTCTTAAGTAGCTTGGGAGAGACCACATGAAAACAGCCATGTACAAACAAGATATATACAGGGTAAATTGGTGATAACCGGGGACATCAGGAAAGACCTTTCCTGGAAGGCGGGATTTTAGCTGGGACTTGAAGGGAGCCTGGGAAGCCAGGAGGTAGAAATGAGGAGGCAGAGAATTTTAGGCGTGGGAAACAACCATCGAAAATGCCTGGAGTAGGGAGAGGGATTGTCCTATTCAAGGAACAGCTGGGAGGCCAGTGTCACTGGCCATACACATATCAGAGTATGTAGGGGTAAGTACGGTATAAGAAAACTAGAAGAGGGTAGGATTGTGAAGAGCTGTAAAAGTCAAAAAGAGGATTTTATATTTAATCCAGCAGATGACAGAAAACCATTGGAGTTTATTGAGTAGGGAAAGACATGGTCATACCTGTACCTTAAGATCACTTTGACAGCTAATTGGAGGGGTGGGAGGATTGGATTTGAGGCAAAGAGACTTAACTGGCAGAGTATTGCAATTGACCAAGCCTAAGGTGCCCAAAGCCTGCACCAGAGTAGTGGCAATGTCAGAAGAGAGAAAGGGACATATACAATGAGATGTTATGAAGATCAAATGATCAAGTCTTGGCAACAGATTGGATATGGAGGGTGGTGAGAGGGAGGGAGGGACTGAGGATGACACCTAGGTTGGGAGTATGGGTGACTGGGAGGTTCATAATGCCATCAACAGTAATGAAGAAATTAGGATGAGAGGAGGAGTTGGGGGTGGGGGGAGAGAAGCAGAATGAGTTCAGTTTGGAACAGATTGAGCTTAAGATATCTACAACTCTGTTTTCTAGAAATGTATCAAGGGAAAGTTGTAGTTCCTTAAAGCTCTTGTCCTTTGATTTCAAGGATATTCCCCTGGGCACTAGAACATCTAGACAAAAAGAAAACTGCTTATACTTTGTTTTCCAGCTTATCTAGGTAATAAAATTACAATTTCCCTACTTTGTCTAATCTCCTGGGAAGATTTCTCCATTTTTCCCAAAGTGTGATCATGCTATTTTCTGCCCAAGTTTTGTTTTGTTTTAGCACTTCATCCTAAACGTATTTTCCCATCCTGAGCTGAAATAAGTAAATGAGCCTTTAGATCCCAAGTTGGCTATCCCATCCAACTAATCACTGCCTTAGAATCTCTGGGAACTAGAAAATTGAAACATTCCAAATGTGTGTCAGAGTTGGAACCTTTTTCTTGTACGAAGAGGGAAAGCATGTATGCCATTTAGTGCTGATGGGGTGCTTGGGTGCCTTGAGGCTAGAGAGAAATATGATCTTGGAAGTGGGGTCCCTGCTAATACACGGCATCATATTTCTCCCCAGCCTCAAGGCACCCAAGCACCCCATCAGTGCCAGTACCTGGAGCTAACACTAGGCACTCGTTATCCCTTTCATTCACCCTCCCCCCTAGATCTGAGGCCTTAGCTCTGGCTGAATGGTAGTAGAAAGCCAGCCATTTTGGGTTCCCCAAACTCCAGACCTCTCTTTCTCCCCCCACCTCCGAAGTTTCCATTGAATCCTTCACTAGCCATTTGGGGAACTGTCACCCCTTCCCACTGCCTTCCCCACTAAGAGATTGGGATCCCAGACCTCTGCTCAGATAGCTAGTGGAGCTTATTTCTAGCTCCTCTACTGGCTTCAAAGAATATCCTTCAACAAACCTCATTAGGTTTAGTGCCTGTGACCTGGTTCCCTGTGAATGGCGATTAGTTGATCACAAAAATCACTTAATCAAAAAATCATTTAGTGGCAATTGTCCATGAAAGTAAGAAAGAATTACTGTCAGGGTACACTATTGCCTAGATCAAAACAACAACCAAAAAAACACCCTGCCTGCATCATACAATTCTTGGAAAAGTACATGAGAATCTGAGTGAGGGAAGCTTCATTCTGGCAGAAAATACAGAGTCTGAGTAATGTCCCTTAACAAAAAAAGATTCACTGGAACTCCCTGGGTGCTTTTACAGGTCTGGGTACAAGTTATAAATACTTGCCCTGAGGCTTGTTAGAAACTTGAAACCAGAGTATTAAAAAGTCATTTCCCATAGAAAGAGGGAGTAATCTGAAAGAAAGGTCTTGCTGATGATTTAAGGTAAATCAGTGGACACCAGAGCTGGGAAAGGCCTCCAAAAGTCATGTACTTTCACCTCCTCATTTTGGACATGAAGAAATGGAGACCCAGAAAAGTGAAGTGACCTGCCCTAAGTTACATGGGTAGAGAGTAGCAGAGGTAGAATTCAAACCCAAAACTTGGGAAGCTAAGCCTCCACTCCATGTTCCACTCTACCCTCCTGCCATCAAGCTAGATAAAGCATTTATTAAGTGCTTGCTGTGTGCCAGGTACTGTGTCAAGCACTAGCAATACATAGAAGCAAGACAGTCCCTACCTTCTTACATTCTAATGGGGGAAATGGTTTCTAACTATTCTATCTTTATATTTATTCTATTTTATCCTTCATACTGGAGTTTGGAACACATTGTACAGAGAGGACTAAGAAGGCCTAAAGAGTGCTCAGATAGAAGCCCTTCCCCCTCCACTCCTCAGTTTTCTACTAACTTCACTCCTCCCACTGGTTTAGGGCACATATGGCCCCCATTAGCCCTCAGACTATTCCAAGAGCTAAAGTGATTGACACACCCTAGTCACTGGAGGCAGAAGAGGCTAAATTTGATTGGTTTTCGAGAAGGGCTAATTACCTCTCTCCAGCTGAGTCTCCTGATAGTTTCCAGAGCCTTCTTTGAGGAGGGAGAGAGGGAGGGTCATGGGAAGATGAGGGAAAATATAGAAGAGGAATGTGATCTCCCCCCCCCCACTTCATGCTCCAATTCTTTCCACCTTTATATAGCTTAATTGCACTGCACTAATTGTTCTTCCTTTCTGTTGATGAGATCCAATGGGATTGAGGGTGTTGGGGGGGGATGGAGAAAATGGTCTGTGCTCTCCTACTAGCCCCCCCATTTCAAATTTCCTTGAGCTCATTCCAGTGGGTTTAATAGTCAAGCCTGTGATCAGAAAGAGTGCCCCCTCCTTGAGGAAGAAAAATCAGTGAAATCCTAGAGTAATATTGCCTCATGTTTGGTCAGTCAAAAAAAAATATTTATTGATCATTTACTATGTATCCATCTCTGAGCTGAGCACCAGAGATAGAAAATCAGTAGACTCTCATTCTAATGGGGGAGACAATGTTTCAACAACTAGGTACATACAAAGTACACATAGTGTGGAGAGAAGGTAATCCCAGAGTCAAAGAGGCTAGCCACTGGAAGAAACCAAAATAGCCTCCTACAGAAGGTGGGCTTTGAGCCCAGTCTTGAAGCAAGAGGTGGGGGTGAGGGGGCAGAGCACTCCCAGCATGGGGGACAGTGTTTGCAAAGGCAGGAAGATGGGAGATGGTGTGTGCTGTGTGAGGAGCGGCTAGTATCGATGGCTTGTGGAATGAATGGAGAGGCATAAGGTGTTAGAAGACTGGACAGAAAGAAAAGCCCAGGTTGTGAAGAGTTGTAAATGCCAAACAAAGACTTTTATATTTGGATTAGAATGAGGAGAGCTGGGGCAGGGAGTCTTAGAAGTCTACTTCAGTGGAGCAGGCGAGAGAGAGCGAGAGAGAGAGAGAGAGAGAGAGAGAGACAGAGAGAGACAGAGAGAGACAGAGAGAGACAGAGAGAGAGAGAGACAGAGAGAGACAGAGAGACAGACAGAGAGAGACAGAGAGAGAGACAGAGACAGAGAGGGGGGAGGGGAGAGAGGGAGGAAAGAGATCAAGGATATAATACGTAAGTTGTAAGCCTGGGTGACTGGGAGGATGTGGAGGTATCTTCAACGGTAATCGGCAATTTGGGAAAAGGGGAGGCTGGGAGGAGGACGAGTTCTGTTTTAGACATATTGAAGTTGAGATGCCTACAGGACAATCTGTTTCAAAATATCCAAAAGGCAGTTGGTGATTCGGGACTGGAGCTTAGGAGAAAGATTAGTCTTGGATGCATAGAGAAGAAAATCATCTACATAGAGATGATAATTGAATTCATGGGAGCTGATGAGATCACTCAGGGAGAGACTATATAATGAAAAGAGAAGAGAGTCCAGGACAGAGACTTGGGTTCTTCTAAAATTAGCGGGCACTACACAGATGAAAAACCAGTCAAGGAGATTGAGAAGGAATGGTCAGACAGCTAGGAGGAAAACTAGGAAAGAGCAGTGTCACTGAAACCTATAGGTTTTTCTCCCCTAGAGGGGAGAATCTATAGGAGAGGAGGTTGATCAATAGTGTCAAAGACTGCAGAGAGGTCATGAAGAATAAGGGTTGAGAAAAAGCCTTTGGATTGGACAAGCTCCACTTAGACAGCTTCTCCTGATTTCCCATCTAGGACTTTGTTCTGTTCTGGGACTTTAGCTTGTTTCCCCAGTGGGCCCACCGTTGAGTGGGTGGCATACAAGGAATCATTAACTAGTTCTCCAAGTGGTCATGGAAATGCCAAAAGGGGGGGCTGGGGTTGGGGTCAGAAAATCTGGGTTCAAACCTCTATCACTTACTTTGGTGTGACCTGAAGCAAGTCACTTCACCTCTGCCTCAGTTTCCTCACCAGCAAAATGAAGGGTCTTAGATCTGATGGTCTCTTAGGTTCCATGTAGATCTAGGAGCCTATACTCCTTTGAAAATAACATAATCACAGCTGATCTTGCCAACTTTCTTAATGCCCAGGACATTGGTAGATACTAATAGTAGCTACATTTATTTAGCACTTGAAGGTTTGTGAAGCAAATCTCCTGCCAACAACTCTGGGACATAGGTGCTTTTCTCATCCCCATTTTCCAAATGAGGAAACTGAGGCTTAGAGAGGTTAATTGACTTGCCCAGGGTTAAAAAAGCTATGAAGTGTCTGCCCTGGGATTCAAACTCAGGCCTTCCTGACTTGAGGTCTGGCACTCTTAGTGCCATGCCAGAATGCCTCTCAGCACTGGCTGAAGGATGGTTTCTGCTTCCTAGGGGTGTTCTTTCTCTAGGCTCATAAATGTAGAGCTTGCAAATGAGAGGCCATTAGATCCAACCCCTTTCACCTCCCCCCATCTTACAGAGGGGGAAATTGAGGATCATAGGGAGATAAAGTTGTTGCGGTCTGAGAGGTTGAGACCCCTCAAAGACTGGAGTACAGGATGGGTAATCAGGAATGAATTCATAGACTCAAGTATTCTTTAAGTCAAGGTGGCAAAGATTTGTTACGCTTTTCAGTGGGCAAGGATCCTTAAGGAACCTTCAAGAGACTGAGGATGGAGCTAGGGTTTATATGGAAAAGGACATGGGAAAGGAATGCCAGGGATACTGATGAGGTAATCCAAAGGTCCAGGTGTCTTTGGGAGCTATGGATGGGAAAGTACGGGGAGTATACCAAACAAGGAGGGAGATGACAGAGGTATGGATCTGGGGAGTCTGGCAGGGGGAAGAGTCCTTGGGCTGGCCAAGGACAAAACTCCTTGAGCTGGGCAAGGCACTACTCTCCCTCTGTCCTGATTAGAGAATGCTCTGCAACAAGGGAAAGTTTTCTCACAAGACAGGAACTTACTAAGGAATTGGGAGGCTTCCAGAGACATGATCTGAAGGCTGGGGCCTGAGCAGCCCAGCACTCTCTCACCCAGCTTTGTGTAGCTGCACCAGGAAGAGATAAGGGGCCCATGCAATGAGTAATTGCTAGACACGGTTTCCTTGGGCTGGGGAGTGATTGTCAGAGACAGTGTTTCTGAAACTAGGGAGACCTTGGGTCCAAGCATAAACACATGCACCCAAACACAAGCACCCAGGCACCCCATCAAAGTGACTTACCCAAGGTTCACATAGGATCCTAGGTCTGAAGCTAGAAGAAACTTTGGAGGCCAACCACTCCCCCAACCCTGCCACCCCATCTTTCAGGGTGGTAAAGTGTCTTGCCTAGGGTCACAGAGAGAATAAATGCTCAAGGTAGGATTTGAACCCCATCCTCTAGCTTCAGGGTCAGTGCTCTTTCCACTGTACTAAGCTGCCTCCCTTACCTAATGATATCTGTGATACATCTTCACTCTTCCCATTTTTCTAAGCTTTACCTCTGTTTTTATCCCTCAGGAGTCAACAGGACTGTTGTGGAGCCTGTTGCAGGGCCTTAAAGGAGTGTTACAGAAGAATTAGACATCAGTGCTGAAAGTAACAGTCCCTTTTATTTGGGTTGTTTGAGGGGAGGCTTAACTGGAGATATTCGGAGTGGGAGGTGAGGGATAGATTTGGGGCAGGGGTAACAAGGGAATGATCCTAGGCACTAACCTCCCATAGCAGGGAATGATGGGCCAACGCCTCCAAAGTGGGGCAGGGAAGGGATACAACCAGGGATCTTGCCAGGCCGATTTGGCTCCACATTCTTCAGGCCTTGGCCTGAAGGAGGAGGAGCTGCACGATGATGTCGGGCGCACACAGCTCCCCAGATCCATAAGTAGGATTCCTGGCTCTGACATCTCTTGCTGCAGAGGTGCTCAAGGGAGCTAAACAGAGCCAGGTGTGGAGGAAGGAGGGGGAAGGGTTTCTCTTAGGTTCATCTGATTGGTTTCCCATCTTTGACGTCACAGGCAAGGAGATGCCAATTAGCTAGGAAGCTGGAATTTTCTGGCTTGGAAGTTTCCAGACATAGGGGATTTCAGAAAATGAGCAGAGAAGGAGGGAGAGGACATGTCTATGGCCGGGTTAGATGGTGCAAATCAGGGTTGGTTTGTTTTTTTGTATTAAGACTACAAGGATTTTGTACATAGCAGACAATGACATTTTCTATCTTATAGTGAACAGTGGCTGATCCCCCTACATTCCAGTCTAGCATTCGAGCACACACACACACACACACACACACACACACACACACACCCACTCCTTGAGTAAAATATGCAAACTCACAAATCTCAATGCTGAGGGCCTGGCTTCCCTTTGCCTTATGGCCTCTTGCTGGTCTTCACTTTTGTTTCATTAAAAAAAAAAGACACTAGGTAGAGAACTATATTTTTAAAAAAGTTTTTATATTTTTAAAAAAGTTTTTAAAAATATCACAGTTATTTCTAGATATCTGCCTTCCCACTTCCACTCCAGGAGCCCTCCCTCCCTGATGACAAAGAAAACCAGTTAAGGAAAACCAGCTGATAACAGTGTCAATGCCTGACAGTATATTCAACATTTTGTACCACTAGTTCCCACCTTTCCGCCAAAAGGAGGGAAATTTCAGCATCTGTTCATCTGTTGTCAAGAGCCATTACCATCATTCAGTTGCCCCAGGTTTATTGCTGTCTCCCTAGTTTCCCTCTCCCCAAACTGAAGCCTACCTGACCTTTGCCTCATTCCCTCCAGCTGAAGCTCTCTTGACTTTTAGCTAAATTCAGCCACACTAATGTGAGGAGGGTCCAGGAAGCACCCTCTCCACCCCCAAACAGCTGTGCCCTTGGCTACTAGCTGGATATGGGTCAACAATGTGACATGTCTGTCAGTCATGAAAGCTAATGCAATCTTGGGCTGCCTTCCAAGAGGCACAGTTTGAGGACTGGCATCCCATCTTACCCTTTCTGGGGCACCTCACATCTGCAGTATTACATTTGTTTCTGGGTGCTCCATTTAATAAAGAACATTGGCATGCTAGACAGTAGTCAGGATGCCAAGTGGCCTGAAGCCTGGGTGGTTCACGAACCAGTACTAGGGGTGTTTGGCCTAAGAAAGAAGAGACTTGGGGAGATAAATGGCATTCTTCGAGTATATGAAGGGCTAGATACATGGAAGAGGTATTAGAGTTGCTTTAGTCCAGAGGTTCCCTAACTTATTTGGCCTACTGCCCCCTTTTAAAAAAAATTTACTCAGTGCTGCACCCCCCTCAAATCTACTTTCCTTAACCCTTTAATTTTTTTTAAAATTTGCATCATTTCAAAAAAATACAAAACTTGTTTTAAAAAAATGACATATCTTAAATTTAATAATGTATCGTAAATTTGCGGGTTTTTTCCTGCACTGAAATTTTGATGATGCAATATTGCATCATGTAACGGTATAGTATGGTATTGTAAACAAGTCATTACAAACACATATTCCTGCCAATGCATTCTGAACTTCCCCATAATGGGAAACACCCTCACCTGCCAACACTTGCTTGTTAAGATCTGTACGGGGACTTGACCACTGATTGGTTATAACTTGCATTATGTGTGTTTATTTGGAAAAAAATATAATCACTGCAACTTTAACTCTTATAGAACAGATGAAACATGTACCAACGGTCTTTCAAAATTTTCTTGTCTTCTCTTCTTTCCTTATGCTTCCACTGCCCCCTTATTTTTATTCAACACCCCCAAATTGTGCCCTAGGCTACTACTGCCCCCTATCATTCCAGCGCCCCCCCCAGGGGTGGTATTGCCCACTTTGGGAACCTCTGGATTAGGCAAACCAGCCTAGAAGAAGCAGCAAGGCACTCGGAGGAAGAGAAAGGAGGTAGCATGGCAGTCCATCAAAAAGCATTTATTAAGTATGTGTCAGATACTATGCTAAGTGCTGGGGATACAAAGAAAGGCAAAAGAAATCCCTGCTCTAAAGGAGTTCCCAATTCAATGGAAGAGATAACATGAAAACAACTAACTGCACATAAACTATATACAACATACATTGGAGATAGAGAGAAGGCACTAGCATTAAGGTGGATTGGAAATGCTTCCTGGAGAAGGTGGGATTTAGTTGAAAGGAACCAGTTTGGCCAGCTTTAACTTAAAGGAAGCCAGGCGGCAGAGATGAGGAGGGAGCAAATTCCAGGCATGGTGGAACCAGCCAGTGAAAACACCGAGTTGGACATGATAGGAATGCCTTGTTTGAAGATTAGCAAGGAGGTCAGAATCATTGGATCACAGAATAACTGGGGAGAAGTAAGGTGAAGAACAATGGGGAGGTAGGAGGGGGCCAGGTTGGAAAAGGCTTTTTAAGGCCAAACAGAAGATTTTATATTTGATCCTGGAGGTGAGCCACTGGAGTTTATTGAGTAGGGGGAGGTGGTGGTGATATGGCTGTATCTAAACTATAGGAAGATCAATTTGACAATTGAGTGAAGGATAGACTTGGAGCATAGAGAGACCAATCAGAAGGCTATTGCAGTAGTCCAGTAGAGTAGCGATAAGGGCCTTCCCAAGGGTTTGAGTGGAGAATAGGGATCGTATAGGAGAAATGTTATGGTGGTAAAAAGGACAAATCATGGCAACAGATTGGATATGTACAGTGAGTCAGAATGAAGAGTCGAGAATGACACAAATTTTGAGGAGTCAACCACCACCATTGCTTCCCTACAGGTCCCAATGGAGACAGCCCAGGACGTCGAAACCAAGGGCCTCCCCTTCCAAAACCATCATTGAGGGAAGCAATCCTTGTAGTAAAGGGGCCTACCTTCTTTGACACCACCACCACCAACCACTGATTCACTGCCACTAGTGGGCAGGTTAGCCCAAGAGCCCCAGGAGTGGCAGTGTGCCCCAGACCCTGAGACTTAAACCACCGCCACCTCCTCAATCATCAGCCCTATTTCCAGCTTTGGCCCCTGAGCCATCATCTCAGGACCAGCCCCTAAGAAGATGCAATCTGGGGACTGCTTATGAAAGTGCTGGATCCCCACCCCACCTCTCATCAGCAACTTCAGCTGCTAAAGCCCTGGAAAAGAAAGTTCTCACCACTAGAGTCTTTGGCGTTGTCAAACAGTTCAATATCAGGAACAGATATGCTTTTATCGATGGAAACAACATTATAGAAGAGACATTACCATCTGTTTTGCTGCTGCACCTTCAGGACCATCTGACTTGCAGCTGAAACCTTCCATTTCTGTTGTCTCATCCGTTAGAATTTGAACTCCTTGGGAGCAGGGACTGTCTTAATTTTCCTACTTCTATTTCCATCGGTTAGCACAGTGCTTTGCACATAGTAAGTGCTTAATAAATCCTCATTCATTCATTCATTCTGCCTTGCCCCAGAGGACAGAACAGGATTAGTGGCTGGGAGTTAGAGGCAGATTTGGGCTCTACATAAAGGAAAAAATAAATAATAATGATAATGATGATGATGACGATGATATAGCTAGCATTTCTATAGTACTTTACGATTCACTAAGTGTTTTATGTTATCTTATTTGGTCCTCCCAACAGCCCTGTGAGGTAGATGTGGTTATTATCCTCATGACCATTAGAAATATTCCTAAGTACCTAAACTGGTACTGGTATTCCTCTCACCAGAAGTCTTCCAGAGATGGCTGGACCACCATTTATTGAGGGATATTGCAGTTGGAGTTCTTGTCTTTGAAGATATTGGAGTGGGTGGGGCCGCCAGGATGGCTATCTTTCAAAACTCCCAGAACACCACATCCCAGCACTTGAAATCTGGCCTTGACATAGATCCTTCCTCAGGATTCTGGGGTAGCTGCTCATTCTTACCCCACATCCCTCGAGTTTGTTTTTTTCTTTTTGTCTGTCCCACTCAGCATGGTATTTATGGTTACATCAACTTGGGCAACATTCAGCTCATCTTGGAGTGGATAACATGGTTCTCATTTCCCCTGCAGTTTGACCAGATGAACCTAGGCTGGAAAACTTACCTCCGTGCCCATTGGGCCACCCATCCTCCTTCCCCAGTAGATGCCATTTATAGGTGACAGTGGATGCAACATACAGGTGCTCATTGTCTGTAGGGCAGATTAGCTTCCTGATACACTAGGGCCTTTCCAAACTGCTAGAAGGGAAGGGTGATGCCATGGCAAGGCATTGAAGGAGATGTTAGAGGGGTAGGGGTCCCATAGCAATGCCCCTCAAATCACACACCCTGTATGTGGCCTCTTAATTTGCTTGACCACTTCATTTGAAAACCCATCTTGAGCCCTGGGACATTAGCTTACCCTGTGTCTCCCCCAACCCAAATCTCTTCCTCAAATAGAAACTGGGAGGAGTTCAGAAATCCATAACTCAGGTATGTTGTATAAGTTAGAATTGATCACCATAACTGACTCATCTCATTCCCCAGGCAAGAATTTAAATTGTCTCTTCCCCCCTCTCCAGGCAATCCTAATGGCATGGGGTACTTGAAATAGTAGATGAACATTTCTTCTATTTTTTGAGCTTTGCACCCCCAAGTATCTCACTTGCCTTGCCCTTGTTACAGCTCTGCTTTCCATCAGTGCTCTCACCTCCTGCTGGTATATACTGTGTTGGTGGGAAGGGATGGTGCTACCACCATGTCTACCACAGTCTTTCTCACCCCAGGTCCCAGTGCTCGGTTGGGGCTCCCAAGCTCTGCCCTTCCCTGGCCAGTGCTTACTCGCCAGAATCACACTCATGTTGGATCCGTGTTCCAAACATCCTCCTCTCTCCCTCTCACTGCACCAGACAACCACAAGTGACAACCATGAGTGCTCTCAAGACAATTCCGAGCTCTTTGGACACAGCCCTTGGAGCACTGGCTCTCAAGCCAGCCTCTTCATCTCCAAATCACCCAGCACCAGCCCTGAAGTTATCACTCACCAGCCTATACTCTGAAGTTAGCCCAGTGAATTGTCTTTTAACCACTAGGGGTGACATTTGTCCCTTTTCCTCCCTCTAACCCACAGAAAGACAAACTCCTGAGAGATGAGATGGATCAGATCACACCACCATTTTGCACATTTTATTTTATTGAAAATTGACATGGATTGTAGAAAGGCTTTGAGCTAAACAGTGCTGGTTCGGAGGTGTTTCTTTTGGCCATTGAGGGCCCTTTGAGCAGTGACACCTTTGAGCAAAAAGGGCAAAGGAGAAGAGAAGGACAAGGAAGAGCCTGAAAAACATGCAGAGGGGGGGAGTCCCTCAAGAGACAGCAGAACAGTGGCAAAGGGTGGGGGTGGGGATGCATGAGAGAAACTAAGAGCACGTGTCATCTAGGTGTAAGTGAATCCAAGAATTCAGGACAGATTGACCACATATGGCTAGCTCTTCCTCCTGGCTCCTGGTCTGAGCAGAAACCCTCTCTTAGGATCCCAAAGGGTCCAGAAGCTTGTATTAAAGGGTTATCCTTACACCTACTTGATTGCACCCTCCTGTCTCTCCCGCCACCTGGGTTTAGCTGGTAGATCCATTTTTCCTCACTTGTTGAAGGACAGATGATGTCTCTTGAATTTCTCTTCTGTGTTTAAGAATGTAGGATATCGGCCGAAGACAGAAACCCTCGAACTGGCTTAAAAAAAAAATCCAACCCAAACCAACCCACTTCTACCACACCCATGTGTGGTCTCAGATTGGCCATGAGCCCAATTGGCCCATGTGGTCTCTGAGACCCTGACCTGGTCTCAGATTGACCCTTTGTTGCCTCTGGGCACTTACAAGGTGGGCAAGGCTGGCATTGGGCTGAGGCTGGGTGAGTGCTGCAGCTGTCTCTGCATGACTGACGTTTGGTCCCCATCAAAGCTGGTTCTCTCGTGCCTTGTTGGGTAATGACAAGGCACTTGCATATCAGAAGATGGCCTCTTGCCCGGCTTAGGGACACATGACCATTGGCAATATTTGTGGGAGGGGGGACACTGGGGCTGTGTTGTGAGACAATATAGGACCCTAACTCTTCTACAGTGGCAGTCTTCTCCTTTCCACTTAGTGCAGCTGCTGAAGACAAGATTAAAAAAAGCTAGAGAGGCAGAGAAAGAGAGAGAAAGAAAACATGAAATTAGCCAAAGAAGTGCATTAAAAGCAAGGAAGTGGGGGAGGGTGAGAGGAGAAGATCCCAGTGCACCATGATTGTTGGACTCTGGAAGTCAGGGCTCTCCAGAGCCCCAGGAAATCTGCTGAAAGGGGCTTGTAAGAAGACCACACTCAAGTGAAAATCAGTTTGTTTTAATTAGAACATGCAAGCACCTTTTTTCAAATCAGCATTTAATATCAAAATGATCTCAAGCAATGGTTGGCAACACAAGAGCCAACTTCTTGGCTCCATTTGGGGTGGGGGAGCTGTCCAAGGTACACGCAGAAAAGCACTGGCCATGAGGAGGTGTGCCCTAAAGGCAAACTCTTAGGGCCGCCTTTTGCTTTATATCATAGCAACAATCAAAATTTAGAAAGCTTTCTAAAGGAAAAAAGACATTCCTTTTGTCTTTACAGTAATATTTGGTTACCTGAGAAAGTAAATGTGTTCATCAATAGTTTAATAGCTTGGGTCAGAATTTACTTTCACACATGGGTTATAAGGGGAAAGGGAAGAGCATCTTCTATTCTCCCCAGTGCTCACTGGAAACACCAGGGGCCCCCTGACACTGGATATCCACCCCCATCTGTAAAATGAGTGGGGGTTGGCCTATATAGACACTAAGGCCCCCTTTCAGCTCTGACAGTCTTTGGTTCTATGATGACTAGGGAATTTATGAAAAATTCTACAGAGAGGTTGGGTATTGACAAGAAAATGGAGTTCTGAATAAGGTTGTCCGTTCTCAGAAGCGTGGCAAAGGCAAAGGACCCTGTTTTATGGAGAAGCAAACAAAGGTCCTGGGAGGGAAAGGGACTTCACAGGATCAAAGAATGTCCGAGCTAGAAGGGACTCTAGAAGTCATCCAGTCCAATGATCTCATGTGACAGATGGGGAAACCGAGGCTCACAAAGGGAAAGGGATTTGACCAGGATCACACAGATAGTTAAGTGAAAGAGATGGGGCTAGAAAACAAGTCAGTTGGGTTCTACTACTGCTGTGTAAATCATATATCCAGAGGAGATGCAGTTTGATATGGTGGAAAGAATGCTGACTTTGGAGTCAAAGGACCTGGGTTCAAATCCCAGCTCAAATACTTTCTATCTGAGAGCCCCAGGACAAATCTCTGGATCTCAACCAGCACAGCAGTAAATGAGGGATTCTTCCCTTCTAAGGTCCAGGCAAGAACCAAATGAGAATAATTCTCTCCAGCTCACTACCCTACAGGGAGATTTTCTTTTTTAATGCAAATAGTCAACCGTCCGTGGGAGTCATTATTGCAGAACATACTCCCCTAGGTTTACTTGGGGATATTAGGAAGAGTAGAGATTTTCTATGTCAAATGGAGGAACAATACAATTTCCCTGGGACCAGAAGCCACAAAGATGGCCAAGTATTTGGCTGTTTGGGAGGGGAGCACCACTAGGTATTTACTGGAGCCATTTGAAGGATCTTTGCCCACAGACCATTGGCCCATTGGCCAATCAAGGTGAAGATATTTCAACTCCCCGGTGACTACACTATGCCCAAACAGCATTGGCATTTGGTTGACAAAAAAGGGAAATGTCTACTGGTATCTGATTTTCACTTTTCCCTAGCTTTTAGGGAAAAATCCGCTAATACTAATTGTCCTAAAGGCTAAGGGGGACTCCCCCAACTCCCCACTAAAAACTCAAAGCAAATCCATACGCCTGTGTATGAACTAAATAAATGAAAAGTGGAAACTATTGGCTGCACTACAGAAGGTGACCCAGGCTATGGGATGGGGGAGGGGGCTGACAGTGGTAAAGGGAGGGGCTGATTATTGCGGGGGGAGGGGGCACATAGCTGGCATGCTAGAAGAAGCTCTCAAAGAGGGAACCTCAGCTTAAAAGGCCAAGTGTGGGTCCATTCCAGCTGTAGCAGGGAAAACTATTCCGTACACAGCCACGGGTTACTGCAAAGGAAGGTCAAAAAGACGGCATGTTAGCTACAACATCATTGCCACAGGACTCCTTGTCTTTCCATCCCCAAAGATTCTTCCAAACTCAGACGCTGCCCGGCACACCTAAAAACTGGCTATACCCTTCTTATGCGGAAATGGGCTGCTCATTTTTTTAAAAAAAAAAAGTCTTGAACCCCTATTATGTGGGAGCCATTTGAAAATAAGTCTCAGGTTGTTAACGTTTTTTAAAAAATCCAAATTTTTGGCCAGAGGTCAAGTTCAGGACCTTCCTTTGTATCTCCAATATTTCTTCATATGACTATAGATAGCTTTAATTTCTTCATCTGAGAACTGCCTATTCATCTCCTTTGACCATTTACCTACTGGGGAATGACTTGTATTCTTATAAATT